CTGCTCGGCCTCCAGTACCCGACACTTCTACCACTACTTCAGTGGTACCGGCCTACCTGCTACTTGAGTGTTTTTCCCCTCTGCTCTAAGTGTCGGGGGCCTAACCCCGCTACTCGAGTGTTTTCCCCCTGCAACCCTTCACAGTCACGGTCCACAGGTAAGTACCGGCCCTGCGGGGCCTTGCAACCAACAAGTACCCTTGCGGGTCACACACACACTCAACCGCCAAGCACTCAGACAGGCATGCAAACCAGCAGGCACGCACACACACACAGACATGGAAATCACAGCAGAATGCGGGAATTTCAACAAGGCATTCATTCCAGCGGCAAATCCCAGAAATCAGCAGTGTTCTCAGTCTGTGTTTTTGGCGGGTCATTACACTGTTTAATAAATAACTTACTTGGCAATATCCAGAAGACTTTTCCTGGGCTTCTGTATTTTCACTCTCAGGACAGGCATCCTTCCCCGTTTTACCAGGCTTTCCCACAGGGATTGATTGCCTGCGCAGTGCACGTAACATAAACAGGGAGAAAACCGTACGTGCATTCATGAATACATAGTACATACACAGTATATTACTGTATTACACACATTATTTGCAAGGCACTGGTCTGAAATTCTTGACAGACATTGACCGGAGGCCCAGAGGTCTAAACTTCTCTAAAGTTTTCTGGTGACAAGATAAAAAAAGTTAAAAAAAGGGCTTTTGAAGAAATGCCTGAAGTATGGAAATGGAGCCAGGGCCACAAGGACCTGTTAAAAAAGAAAATAAGAAAAAAAAAAAACTGAAGTGGTCGAGCACTTTAGTGACCTGGCAGTAGTGCTGCAACAGCCACATGATGGCTCTGATCCAAACACACCACAAGCACACTTCCAAACAAAACGAAAGGCCTACTCTTCTGCACAAATTCATGTCAGTTAAGCTAGCCGCAAAATGACATGCCACCAACCAGTTGCCCACGACTCTGGTCATTATCACCTAGAAAGTAGAAACATGATTACCGCTTCCCTTAAAAAAGTTCACAGAGCATCCTGCAGACAAACGGTATGGGAGGTTTAGAGCATGTTACAACACTACCCATCCTGGGTAATTCCATGTGACCGTTAGCTCGGCAAAGCCCTCAGTATCACGGGTTGGAACGGGGAGGGATTCAAGACGAAGAAGGAAAAAAGGCGGCAAGTTATCTAGGCAAAAAAGAGTTAGGCCAGATCAACAAAAAGGATTACAGCGCTGTAGTGCAAAAAACAAGTCAGGCAGCGATCAGTTGAGAGGAGCGTAGCTTTTCTACGTCTCGACGTTATCAGCTTCAAGAGCAGTGTAGCACGAGCAGAGCAGCAAGGGTAACAGTAGGATCAAGCTAAATTAGACAGAGGGTGAGGGGAGGTACATCCTTCCAGGCTGGAAGTAATCAATGTCATCCCTCGGGTCCCCCAGACATTGTGGGGAGAAGCGTTTATCTGACTTGCCGGTGGAATAGAAACCGGACTGACGCTCCTCAGAATGGACAACGTGCCAGAGCTATAACGCTCTGTTTTTTTTTTTTTTTTTTTTTTCAAGTGTGACTGTACCAGCCTGCCAAGGCGCATGGAAGCTCACTTGCCCAGAATTCCGCTTGGGTCGAAAAAAAGTTCAAGAAACAAAGTCCAAGACAAGACAATCTTGAGCCCGGGGCATTGGTTCTCCCACAGGTCCATCCATCACCTGCGGTGTTTCTCCCCATGTGTGTGTATGCAAGGAGGGATCTTTCGTCTGTGTATGTGCGTGTACACAAGGAGGGATCTTTCATCTGTGTATGTGCGCGTACACGAGGAGGGATCTTTCGTCTGTGTATGCTTCCCTCCTTGCATCAATGTCAATGTTACATCTCCTTTTAAGCCATTAAGCTGGAATCTGGCTACCTATTTACCCGCATCATCATCTACGGTGTTTTTTTCTCCCCATGTGCATGTGCGCAAGGAGGGATCTCTCGTCTGTGTATGTGTATGTACGCAAGGAGGGATCTTTCGTCTGTGTATGTTTCCCTCCTTGCATTTCTACATGATGATAATGTCTGCGTTTGTTGAGTCGTGAGTCTGATGAGTCACACTGCTGTCTGTCGGTCTTCCGTTGCTTCACATTCTTGGTTCTCCCCACCTCAGTGATCACTTGCTGCTGCACCAGGCCTGGATGCTCTGAGGAATGTGACATAGAATGTTTGAACTCCGATAGACTGGAATCCTTCCCCTGGAGTTATTACAATTCCATCAGGCCATCAAGAATAAGAAGTCTATAGTAGCGGTAAAGTGGTCAATTCTTCCTTGCTGTACCAGAGAATAAAGTGATTGACTGGCAGAAGACCTTCGGAAGAGAGGTCATCAGAGCATTCTGGAAACGCAACGGGCCTTGGCTCAGTGGGCACGCACATGAACTGTTGAAATGCAGACCTGAGTTTGAATCCAGATGGAACTAGAATGAACTTCTTGAATTACTTGGGGTTGGTCACGTCAACAATGATATCTCAAGGTCGTCGCCCGTTCAATAATGTAAAAAGCATCCTGGACATGCTGCCAGCTGGGCATTGAGGAAATCCAGCTGCGAGGTGGGCATTGAGGAAATGCACTGTTTTTAAAAGTCCCAGCAGGTCCGAGATTTATGGACATTACTGGAGATATCTAGGGTGTATACAATAGACCTGTACAGTGGGGAGCCTGGGTAAGTTTGCGAGGCACTGGGGGTCTACCCACGGGACCTGTAGAGCGAACGCTTACGCCTAGCACCCGAAGCACTCGTATGACAGGGCTCGTCCGAACATGCTTCAACTAGGGCTGAGCAGGGTCGCTGCATGCCCCTGGTGGAAAGGTGATGGTCCTGTGTGTTAGACACTGAGGTAGGACTGAGTGAGTAGGGGTGTGCTGGGGAGAATCGAGAAGAGGATAGGTGGGCGGTGGTCTCGTAAGGGGTAGGACCCTACAACAAAAAAAAAGAAGGAAGACATGGGAATATTTCATGGACCAGAAGGTTGGCGACAGTCTCACTCTCCTAACCTGGAGATCAGTAGGACTGACCCTGAGACAGTTTCACCCTCCTGGGAGACTGAGGTGCGAGGATTCAGGACCCTCAGCAATGCAGGAAAAGGCCACGCCCGCCCGCCGTAAGTGAAGGTGGGCCTGCAATAATTTGTTTGGGCCTGCCTACAGGCCGATGTGAGCACAATGGCGCCCAAAGGTTGGTTGCTGCACGCAGCATCTCCAACCAACTGGTAGCTCAGTTGGTTGCAGATGCTGGGGCCCAGCGAAGATGCTGAGGCCCAGGGCACTTACAGTTGAGTCGCAGGCACATTATGGAAGGGCCCTGGGCGCAGCTACTGGGACAGAGGCCTCCCAGTCCAGGGCTGCCTCGCCCATCCAGCCCGAACAAAAAGAAGAGCGGTGAGCTCATGCCCTACATTCTGGCTGGCTGGACGCGGCAGTACTGCTGGAGCACTCGCTTGCTGGAGGAGAGCCGGGCCAGAAAAGGAAGAAGGGCGCTGGTGCAGCGCGTGGAAGAAGCTGTGAGGGTGCAGCAGGGCAGCACCAGTCAGCCATAGCCAGGATGAACTGGCGCCCAGCCATTGGAGGAAAGCGGTGGTCCTGGGCGATGCGCTGTGGGAAGTGGAAGTCATGGAGAGGGGGCGATCTGACAAAGCACTCACCCGGTGGAACAGAAGCGGACTGTTCGATCGGTGTCTCCATGCATACATCGGGCTGATGATCTCCATAGCTGACCTGTTGTAGATAGGAGTCCAGGTCGTAGGAGCTGTCTGTCTGTAGCCTGGTCACCAAGCGCCAATGTCGAAGAGCTACACTGTTGACATTGGTGATGGGAGGCGAGAAGAGGGCTTTCATTTTTTTTTCATAATGTGACATCAATGCTCTTCTCGTACTTATTTGGTGTTATCTCGGATTGCAATCTGCTTTCAGTTCAGGCTCAAACTTAATATCTGGATTTCTATGGAATGCTGCAAATCTGGTTCATTGTCATTCGCAATGCTCGTTTCCTACCGTAGCAGAGGGCTCTTTCATAGCGGACAGCGCCGAACAGAGTAAAACACAAGCCAGAAAGACAAAGATCTGCATTAGTCCTTGTAGTTATGTGTTCTTTGGATCTCTTCTTCATTCATGCCGCTTTTGAGTCTGCCCACTCTCCCTGCTTACTACTGAAATTCTTACTTTGGTTTTGAGGCTTGCAAATATGCTGGTTGAGTTGAGTTATCATCAATCACTGACTCCTTTATTCTTTTTTCTTTAAGGGGGATAGCCCCTAACTTTATTAGCTTTGTTTGATTCCATCAGGACTCAAAACTCATGTTCTGTTTACTAACAGTTACATGTGTGTACCATTCAGCCACATGGGCTGGGTGTCAAGCACTGACTTCTTGCAACAGTCAAAAAAAGAAACACGGACATGTTAACATTCCGTTTTCCTTGAACAACCACTACTTTGAAACTTTGAAGCTTGCCTAAGATCGGCGGATAGTAAATTTGGCTGGCTGTTGGGATACCTAGACCATCCATGGTTGGCCCCAGAGGATCAGCAAAACACATCTGTTTTTTTTTTGTTTTTTTGTTTTTTTTTTGTAATTAATCCACCCTCAGCAACAGATAGGAGTGATGGTAAGAGCATGCACTCCTACCTGTCTTGCAGGGGGCTCCAGTCTAATGGTGGGGACCTATCACCTGCTGGAACGTGGGTCCATCGTCCCCTGAGATACATTGTTCAGTTGGTAAAACAGATCGTACCGAGAATCGGGCCCAGCAACCCTCTTTTTTTTTCCTTTTTTTTTTTTCATGAACTTTGCTGATGATGCCTCTGCTACTACCAATATTATGATGATGATGATGATGATGATGATGATGAGAAAGCTGATTAAACTAATGAGAATGAGCAGTTGATGATGATACTAATGATAGTAATTTTATGGTAAGGCTTAGACTATATCAGCATATCCTGTCCCTACCCCCTATACCAAACGCTACACTTCCAAAGACAATGCCATCCCAACCAACACCAATCAAAGCTGACGCGCTCTCACTACCTAGACTACCCGACCCCTTAGGCTGTCCCAGCAGCACCCCCCGGTTCACCACTGGATTGTCTTCCTCCCTCGACGAATCCTCAGATCTCTCTACCAGGCCTCGAGCTCCTGCTACAACAGGTCACAGGGCAACGGCCCAGCACTGGCCAGCGTCGTTCTGGCATCGGCTAACCAAGGGCACAAAACACCACAGCTTGAAGGCATCAGCAAGAATTCTACCATCTGTAAAATCTTGCAACTGATATAAGAGGAAAACCAGCTGTTGCCTAGGATTGTAGGAAAACCAGAAAAGCTTGACATAGCCTAATTAGTAATGCCCTTCCCCCCCCTCCTTTTTTTTTTTTTTTTTTTTTTTTTAAATGTGAGACCTATGGTACGGTAAGAACTACATCAGCATAACCTGGCCTCACATTCTATGCACAACTTCTAGCCTCTCCCCTCTACCAAATACAACATTCCAAGACAGTCTCATCCCAACCAATGCCCACCACAGTTTACGTGTTTTCACTGCGTAGACAATACCCGACCCCTTAGGTTGTCCCAGCAGCAACCCCCGATTCACCACTGGATTGTCTTCCTCCCTCGACGAGTCCCCAGATCTCTCTACCAGGCCTCAAGCTCCTGCTACAACAGGTCACAGGGATATATCCCAGCACCGGCCAGCGTCGTTCTGGCTTCAGCAAAACACATCTGGAAGAAGTAGCTCCAACAACTTTTGCTGAAAAGGGAATTCCAGCCCTCCCCGCCAGCCATCTCTCACCTTCCTCCCAAGGGGTTGCCAAAGGGTGAATCTATTCAATTAGAATCGAGAATGAACTGTCCTTCGAGACATCCGTTAAAATTGGAACGACAAAGAATAGATTATCATGGCCCCCTGTGCAAGGATGACACGCATAAATCGAGAAATGGTCCAAACTAAGCAAACTTAAAAAAAAAAAAAAGCGAGAATGAACTTAGCATGATAATTGAAGAAGGGAAGGCAACAGAAAAGTAAAGAAAGAGGGAAACCAAAACGAAACGGACCTTTCTTCGGCTTGAGGTCCACAGGATTCTCGAGGGAGCCACCATACAATGGGATGTCAAAATTGTTTCTTTCAAACTGGATGGAGGGTGTTGACGGAGTTGCCTTCGGCAAATCGATCAGGCCCCATGCATACGTGATCCAATCTGCCTTTCCAAGTTCCCCCCCTCTTTCTTTTTCAGCTTCTCTCTGACCAGCAATACCTGCATCATTCATATCCTGTGGGATACCTGTCCGTCCCGAGTGCGAAAAAGGTTTGTGTCAGTCAATGCCAAACTTGACAAGAAAACAGTTAGCTGACTCTGGACCACAGATGACTTACATGACTCTGGACTTAATGGAAACTCATCCGCCCACCCACCGGCCCACTTGTGCCTTCCCTCCATCCATCCATCTCTGTCTGCCCGCATGATCGCTTGCCCACCCATCCGTCCTGCATGTGTGTGTGTGCATGGGTGCATGTGTCTGCCCGTGTGTACGTCCGCTGACCCACCTGTCTGCTCATCCGTCTGTTTGTCCGTGTATCTGCCCCTCCATCCATCCGTTTGTCAGTCAAACCTTTCAGTCAGTCAGTCAGTCAGTCAGCCAGTCAGCCAGTTAGTCAGTCAGTCAGTCACAGTCAGTTTGTCTGTAAGAATTTGCTTGAACGGTTGAACCTTTCTTTTTGCTTTCAAAAAAAGAAGGTTTTCAGTTGTCCTGGAATACAATGGCAATGAGTATGTCGGGATCTTTTCAGACTACCTATGGTAGAATCTGCTTGGAAAGTTACATAATTGGCAATGAGCATGGCAGTATCGCTTCAATCTACCAATGATAGAATCTGTTTGCAGATGTTTTTTGAAACAGCGTAGTTAATCCCCTCTTGACTCTTGAGACAGCACAGTTATTCCCCTTTTGGGTGTGAAGGCTAATCAACGCCCCCCTGGTTTTGCACATAAGCAACATTCATGTGCCTTGTTTTCAAATGGGATGCCGGACTCAGTTTTCAGCAGGTGGTGAAGCTCCCCACCAATAGCTTCGGGGGGCTATTGAAAAGAAAAAAAAGCAAAAAAGTGAGAACTCAAGTGGGTGTGAAGGCTAATCAACGCCCCCCTGGTTTTGCACATAAGCAACATTCATGTGCCTTTTTTCAAATGGGATGCCGGACTCAGTTTTCAGCAGGTGATGAAGCTCCCCACCAATAGCTTCGGGGGCGCTTGAAAAGAAAAAAAAGCAAAAAAGTGAGAACTCAAGGGTGGACTTCTTTATGCTTAAGTAGTTTGCAACTTTGAAGTTGAGAAAGCTACCATAGGCTCCTAGAGTCCTAGGGGTTTGAAAATGCAGAGAAGACCCACCCATCCCACGTGGCTGAATGGTACACCCATTTGCTGTTGAGGAACAGACCTGAGTTCGAGCTTCGTATCCTTTTTTCAAGTTTTGTTTATTTATATAGAAAAAAGAAACAGGTCCTTATGGTCCTGGCTCCATATCCATTCTGGGGAGCATCAGTCCGTCCGGTTCCTATTCTCCCGGCAAGTCAAGAGGGTAAATCAATTACACACTCATGCTTCCTTGCGTTTGGCCGAAGGATCCGTGAACAGCATTGATTACTCCTGGTCAGCCTGCCCTTTCTCCTGTATTCCTCTCAGGTTCCATCTGAGGACCTGTCAGCTTTGGCTCTCCCCGTCTAGAATTTTGAGAATGCMCCTTTTTTTTTTTTTTGAATCACCCAAGCCCCTTCTATTCTGGGGGGTGTCGGTCCGGTTGCTTATCACTGGCAAGCATGAGTACAAGGAAAAAGAACTGAAAGGACAGAATTGAAAAAGAGTCAGCACAACCCTTGCGGTACGAGTAGTCACCCACTCAAAGGGGGGCTGCTATGAACCCCCCCCCCACCCCAAACCATTGCCTTCCTAGGGGGCTTCTACTGGCCGGGAAGCTTGTGATAAGCTCAGACCCGTACCGCACGGCTTCCCGTATCCCTGAGGAAAAATCCCTCGGAAGCCCCGAGGCACGGACGCGGACAAACAGGGGTTTTTCTTTCTTTTTGTTTTTCGTTTTCTTTTCGAAACGGCTTTTTCATTTTGTTTGGTTAATAACTCCTGCGCGGGCGAATAGCGGCCGCGGTATGAAAACCAAGAAACGGGGGCGGTTGGGACTTTTTGAATATTTGCGCGCGCACGCCTAAGCTCCGATTTCTTCGCGCATCTCACATCCCCGTTTCTTGCTTTGCATCCCCGCGCCATCTTCCCTTCTTGCTGCGCGCATTTTCCCCATGCCGGACTCTTCGTCTTCCCCTCCGCCCAGCTCGATCCTTACCCCGCGAAGTGATTGGCCGTGTAGTTGGGATGCTCGGATCAATGTGGAGAGCGGGAAACCGCGCGCCACTTGAACGGACACCCCAATCACGTAGGACCATGCCATCCCGCGGGTCAAACCCTCTAGCTCCCCACCTTCCTGCTGTCCTGCTCATCTACAACCTGCGCTGCCCGCACCTCGCGCTGACAACCCGCCGCCTCCCGCGCTATAAATTCACGCAACCCTCTCCTCTCCTCCTCTTTGATCTCGGCTGCAATGCTGCGCGAGCTATGCGCGAGAGTCCGCGGCGCCGAACAGGCTCGACGAGCCCAAGGACGGGTGGAGTGACGATGTGGGGTGGACCCGCGGTAGTCTCGAGGCGAAGCAGTCGGAGGGACTGAGCAGTGGTGGGGATTGGACGCCGGCCGCGGCAGGGCCTTGTGGCTATGGTGGTCGTTGGTCTTGGGGAGTTTTGAAGGCTGCGCCTGGGGGCGGTAGTTAATTGAATTTTTTGTGTACAAGAAGGACTCGCTTTTATCTCCTTTGCTGCTTTGTCTATGCATGTCCTGTGTGTGAAGCCCCGAGTGATGGGAGCTGGTGGTGCGCACGAGTGATGTCAAAGGTCTATGGATGATTAGATGTCCTGTCAAAGTTTGTTGATGGCATGCATGTATGTGTATATGTACTCGTCCGCGCGGGGATGGGGAAACTGAACTGGGGGACCGTCTGCTTAGGAGTATGAGTGTGTTGATCCGGTTGTTCCCCTCCCCTCAGTGGTCTTTCCGACACTCGTGCGCGGTCTCGGCGTAACTCACTCTCTCTCTCTCTCCCTCTCGATTGCTTTCCTTTTTGAACTGATAGTCATCGCTTTTTGAGCTTCTCGCCCCCGTACCGGTGACGTCAACCGCTTGCATCCGCGCGGACGGTCGACGCCCCCGCAAGGGGAGAGAGCTTAGACTTCGTCGTCTTCCCTCGACGCACCCACCTTAGAGAGAGAAGAGTTGCGACGATTGTTGTATGGATTTGGTGTTGGTTCGGATGACCGGGAACGCGGGACCTTGCCCGTGTTCATCACGTACCTCCGATCGTCTCATCTCGCTACCGACCTTCCCCATCACAGATGACGACAGCGTCTATTGCGATGCGGACGTACGGCGCGCGCTGAGGCGGAGAGAGCAAGTGTGTTGGCAAGACCTGCCTCGGGCTTGTGAGATAAGGGGGAACGGGTTTGTTTTGATTGATTGTTTTGATTCCCTGACTCTAATATTGCCTTATACGGGTTTGACGGTGTTGCCCTGGTTGGCCGCTCACGCCGTGTGGCGGCCGCAGTTTGATTGTCGCTGGTGTCGCCAGGGGGACTCGTGTTCTTGGCGACGGCTGGTCCTGGGTTACGAGGGAGCGACACGTTTCCCCGAGCTTTCCCGTAGTGCGCGGGTGCTGCCCACGCAATTTCGAATTCAGATGTCGGCAAGTCCTCCCGCCGCTTTACCCTCCCGGGAACTTTCGCGCAGACTCTGTGAGTCCGACGCCGAGGCTTGAAGGCCTCGAACCAACCACCTCCACAGCAAAGACCCGAGGGTTCGGCCACTTGGTGAGGCCGATGATGAGGCCTGAAGGCCTCGAACCCGCCACCTATCCCCCAAACCCCTGACGGCCGAAGTTTTGTCCTCCGCCGCCATGGCCCTCTCCCCTTGATGCCTTTTTCCGTCCCGGTGCATGACGGCAGTTCATTTTTGCGGAAACCTTTTTTGATTTTATCGTTTCGGAGTGATCCGACCCCCACGGGACTCCGCGACGACAGTTCGACTCCGGGGAAAACCTCTGGCACGAAACGAGGGCTTCCCGTTCCGTCCGGGAGACTCAACCCTTACGGCCAAAAATCCTCGGCCACGCCCCTCCTAGAACTCTGATCGGCGACCCCGTGCGGGAAGCCGCGAGGGAGCGTGAGGTTGGTATCAGAGCTGATTCGTTTCGGCTCCGAGGTTTTCCTAGGACGATTACCCTGTTTTAAAGTTCTTCTCTTCCTTTTTGATCCTTTTATTAGATTTTTCGCATTTTTGAGTAGGCTGGCTCCCCGTCGACGGAGGCCCGCAAATAGCAATCAGAACCGAGCGAGAGGCCGGGCTCGAAACCCGCCTCCCGCAATGGTGGAACCCGGAATTGGTGGTGAAAACGACGGTGACAACCACGCGGGGATGGCCAATCATCCCCTGTACTTTGTACCTCCGCCTTCCGAAGTTCCCATTTCTCCGAAAATGACACCGACCCTCGTACCTGGCTAGCGGCCTTGAAAGCCCAGGGCTGGTCGGATCAGTTGCTCCGAGAACGAATTCCCGGAAGGTCAGCCGGAACCGCTTTTGAGTGGTATGGACATAACCCCTTCACTAATTGGGCAGCCTTCCAGAGGAAATTTCTCGATAGATTTGATCACATCGCACCAGGTCAATGCCTCCGTTTAATAAAGGAATACACGTAGCAGCCTCGGGAGACCTTGGCCAGATATGTTGAACGTTTTACGTACTTAGCCGAACGCTCCGGGGTGGACGAGAAAATGGTACGGACTGATTTCGTCAGAGGACTGTCAGATTCTCGTCTGCGGAAAAAGATCCGCAAGAAATGCAACCCTATAGAACATACCCTGACGGAGCTAATTCAGTATGCAATTAAGTACGCGAAAGAAAATTACGATGTGGGCCTGGACTCAGAATCCGACGAAGATGACCCTTCGGGTGTTCGATGCAATAGCTACTCCCCTACGGCGCGAATGTTCGAAGATCGCTTCGGGTTGGGTCCGACAAAAAAAGGCGTGGATCGGAAAGCTTCTTCCTCTGCTTCGGCCTCCCGTCGCCCTAGTCAAGCACAAGGAGGCCGGGGTGAGGAAGAAGTGTCCATGAAGGAGGTCGTGGCACAATTAGTTACGGCAGTGGCCCCATTGACAAAGTTTGTTCAGGGC